TGGGAGAAGGCGAGGGTGGGATGTTTCAAGAGAACAGCATCGAAACATGTATATTATCTAGGGTGAAACAGATCACCAGCCCAGGTTGGATGCATGAGACAAGTGCTCGGGCCTGGTGCACTGGGAAGACCCAGAGGGATCAGGTAGAGAGGGAGGTGGGAGGGGGGATCGGGATGGGGAACACATGTAAATCCATGGCTGATTCATGTCAATGTATGACAAAAACCACTGCAATGATGTAAAGTAATTAGCCTCCAACTAATAAAAATAAATGAAAAAAAATAAAAAGGATGACCATTACCAGATGAGACTGTGCGAAGACTTGGAGCATGGTCAGGACTGTTCAAAGGCAAAGTGTTACTTGAATGATAACGTTCCCCTGCAAGACTCTTCAGCATATAAGGTGTGTGTTTGTGGATTACATCACAAGGCCATCTGCCTTAACTTTCCACAGTGTTACACTTTGTGATTTTACAAGTGTTTGTTGGTGATGAGGCCAAAATCATGCTGTGATGCTCTGCCTCCCATGTCACACATCCCGTTAAAGAGAAGCAGAGGGGACATATATACATCTATGGCTCATTCATGTTGATGTTTGACAGAGAGCAATAAAATTCTGTAAAGCAATTATCCTTCAACTGGAAAAAAAATTTTTTTTTTAAGAGAAGCAAGTAATGGATACAAATCTAGCTCACACAAGACTGACAACAAAACCTTTTGCCTTCCCAAAGATACAGGAACCCAGAACCTGCTTGCTTCTGCTTGGCCCCCGAGGAACCATACACGTGCAGCCTCTGGGGATCAGGACCAGGGTAATGGATTTGCGCCATCACAGAGTCAGGCCCAAAGCAAAGTCCTCACCACCAAGTGAAGGATTAGTACGGATGGAGCGGCACAACTAAACTGCTGACCACGTGAATTGCTGTCATCATTTGCCACTCTCCAATCAGCTTCACCGACTGTGCAGGGAAGTCCCCACTGGTGTCTGAAACCTTCCCACCCCGACAAACGACCCCTGAGGACACTTGCCCATCCTCCTTTGTCCATAGGCTTCCCCTTCCAGCCCCTCTCTCCACCTGTCCAGCTCTTAACCACCCGGAAAACCCCAAGCATGCACTTTCCAGCTTGAATGTTTGAGCTATTCATTTCTAAAGCCCCTCATGCTTTCCTGCAAAACCTTTAAAAAGAGCAGACGGATAGATGAGGCCAAAATAAACACACAGGTCTTACCTGGCCCATCAAGGATGCTCCAACCCATGAAAACAGGACTTTATAAATGTTGTTCTGTTAATACCAGGTCAAATGTTCCTAATCACTAGAAAGTAAAGTAAAATTTCTGTCAAGTTAAATGCCATTGTTCTCATCATTAGACCCTGGCATCTGAAAATAAGAGAGAATGTGTCTTCCTCTTTGCTGTGAATGACAAGTCATGAGCCATCTTTACTGTTGACTGACAGCTGTTTAATAAGCCATGTGATGGGATAAAGCTTGTCTTTCAGCCTAACTAGTGGCTCATCTCTGTCCCTAAACACCTGCTGAAAGTGAAAGTGAAAGTCTCTCAGTCACGTCCAACTCTTTGCGACCCCATACAGTCCATGGAATTCTCCAGGTCAGAATACTAGAGTGGGTAGCCTATCCGAAGATCCAGCAGATCTTCCTGACTCAGAAATTGAACCAGGGTCTCCTGCATTGCAGGCTGATTCTTTACCAACTGAGCTATCAGGAAAGCATAACATCATACCCTGTTACCACTACAGCCACGGAAATCTTAAACAAGGCTGTTAAATGGACATTTCTTTTTTTTTTTCTCCCAGTTATTGAATTTGGAATGTTTCAGGTTACTGAGACAATCAAACAAATAATGATTAGATATCATTTCTACGTGTCACACCAAATGCTTTCGGAATGCCTCTTTTTTGTTAGCTTCATATATTTTGGTGATTTGTTTTCTGTTCCTATCACTGATGCTGAAGTAGCTTAATGCAGTGGTCCTTGTCTTCCAAGAGTTTCTCATCCAAGTAAGGCAGTGGGATCAACCACTGTGGAACAACTGGAAAAGGCGGGATAATCAGGGACTGCATGATGGTGGGTTTCTGAGTGAAGAACACCCCTGAGAGCTGGCACAATCAAGGAGAACTTCTGGGGGAGGTGCTTCTGCTGGTCAGAACCCTCCCATGATAAGAGGAGACAGACCGTTAGCTGGCCCTGGACCATGGCAGGTGAGCATCAGGGTCGGTCCCTGGAGCACCTCGTGAGGCAGTGGGGGTGGCGGGGGGACCTGGTGCCTTGCAATACATATGGTGATGGAAAATGAATGAGCAAGGAGACAGATGAAAGTAAGCTTTGAGGAAGGTTAATCTGGCTGTAGTGCACAGAATGGGGGGAAATGGGGGAGAATGGTCTGGCCATTCGTCTGTGAGACTGTTGCAGTGATTCTGGGGTGACGGTTGCAACCTCTCCTAAAAAGACACACCTAGAAAAAGTTGAGGGGAAATAACAGGACTTGGTGATCTGAGGAATAGTGAAGGTATCTATGGGGCTTGGAATACATGGTTCTCCCTGTTTTCCAAAAAAACCAATGACTTTGAGTCAGCTTTGGGGGCTACACTCGAGACTAAAGGAAGCAGCGGTTTGGAAGGAGACCCTGCACAGACTTCCTAAAGGACCAACACGATTCCTTTACAGGGGGCTCCTCACCCACAGCCCTGCCATTCCAGTGTTACATGAAATATCCTTCCTTATCATTATGTGAGCCTCAGCCAGTCTACAAATCTCACAGGAATAACTTCCCGCCTTCTCTGGAGGCTTGATCCCAGAACTGCAGACCCTGAGCCCCTCATCAGGCCGGACTGACTGATGGCCTGGTGTGGACACAGCACCCGGCTCCCTGTCAGGACGCCTTCAGCACCCTTGGTGAGCAGGTCCAACTGCAGGTCAACCGGTCTCCCATGGGTTGGGTTACAACCCTTAACAAAGCAGACCTGGAATTCTCCTCATGGAGCACAGTATCCAAAATATCCTTTATAGTGAAGCACATTTAAAGGTTTCTTTTCAAAACATCCTCCCAACTACTGAAAACAACCTTTTTCTTTATTATTTTTCACAGTGCAGGATAGCACAAACAACCTTGATCACTCATGTGTCTAAAACACCATTCTAATGAAAGCAATGATAAATCGATTGTGGCTGTCACAGGCCATTTAGATTTGGCAAATTTGGGGACTTCAGTGTACTCACCTGGCTAAGTCATGCCCGGGACTGTAGAGTTTCTAGGAAGGACACATCACTGCTGAATTCCACTTCCAAACTATGAATCCTGGGGACATGCATTACACCCCAAAACCAAACGCTGTATTGTTATAAGGCCTCGTAAGCAATGAAGAGATGGTTAATACAGTATATGACACCAAAGATAAATTATCCAGTTATACCTCCCATAATTAAGAAAGAGGCATGAAATCAAAGGTAGAGACCTAGACAAAAAAAAAAAAAAAAAAAGGAAAGCAGTTATACTTGTAATTCTGGTTTTCTGGCTATTCTTGTTTGCCTCATAAAGTGATTGTGTTTGCACACACCTCAGTGTTCATAGCGGTAGTGTTAACAACAGCCCAGACATGGTAGCAAAAGAAGTGTCCACCAGCTGATGAATGTTTTCCATTGCCTGCCAAGGCAGGAGATGCAGGAGATGTGGGCTCAATTCCTAGATCCAGAATATGCCCTGGAGAAGGAAACGGTAACCCACTCCAGTATTTTTGCCTGAGAAATCCCAGGAACAGAGGCACAGAGTGGGCTATAGTCCATGGAGTTGCAAAGAGCCAGACACAACTTAGCGACTAAACAACTATGTATATGTATAGTCACATCTTCTCCATCCATCATATATATATATATATATATAACCACCGAAAGTGAAAATCGCTTAGTCATGTTCAACTCTTTGCAACACCCCATGGACTATACAGCCCATGGAATTCTCCTGGCCAGAGTACTGGAGTGGGTAGCCTTTCCCTTCTTCAGGGGATCTTTCCAACCCAGGGATGGAACCCAGGTCTCCCGCATTGCAGGTAGATTCTTTACCAGCTGAGCCACAAGAAAAACCCCATATATATTATGTATAAATATACATAAAACTGCTCAGCCATAGGAAAGAATGAAATTTTGCCATTTGCAATAATATAGATGGACTTATTATTTTGCTTAGTGAAATAAATCAGAGAAAGAAAAATATGGTACTTCTCACTTATAATGTGCGATCTAAAAAAATAAAACAAATTAGTCAATGTAATAGAAGAAGAAACAGACTCATAGATATAGAGAACACACTAGTGGTTATCAGTGGGGAGAGGGGAGATGGCGGGGGCAAGATGGAGGTAGGGGATTATACAAACTACTATGTATAAAATAGATAAGCAACAGGGTATATTATACAGTATACCTGGTATTTTATAATTACTATGAAAAGTATGATCTTTAAAAGTTGTGAATCACTATGCTGTACACCTTACACTTACATAATATTGTACATAAGCTATATCTCAATTAAAATCTCTATAAACTCATCCCCCGCCCCCTCCCCCAGTGTAAAGAGGTGATTAAATAAGAATGAGGTCATCAAGGTGGCCCTGGCCATATCTGACTGGTGTCCTTAGAAGAAGAAAGGCTCAGACACAGAGGAAGGCTCACGTGAGGACATGGGGAGAAGCTGTCGACGTGCCCAGGAGAGAGGCCTCAGAGAAAAGAGCCTGTCCTCACCTTCCTCCAGGACTATGAGAAATAAGTTCCTGTTGTTGAAGCCGCCCCACTGGTAGTGTTGGTTATGGTGGCTCAACACACCTGGTGTGAATGTGTGCCCAGCCCAACCTCGCTCCCTCTGCCAACTGGAGCTTTTCCATCATCCCAGGCCTGATAAGTGACAGGTGGTGTCACAGGACCCTGGCAGAGCTGTAGACACCAGACCCACCAAGTCATCAAAGTTCAACTTCCTCTACCTTCCTGCTGGGATGTGCAGAGGCCGCAGGTATGGGGAAATCCAGCCGAGATGAAGGCCCGAGCAGAAGAGCGTCAGAGCAAACCCTCTGCAGGACCACACACCCTGCCTGGGAGAGGAGGTTCCTCCAAGCAAAGTGCCTGATTATAGATGTTGTGATGTGGGGAAAACAGGATCAAACTGGTTGATCAGAATTCAGACACGAAAGAAAAGACTAAACTTGATTTGGAGAATAACAGAAATTTCTGTCTCTGAGACAAAAAACCTTGGGAACAGATTTGCTAGTTTTTCATTCTTAAAAATAGAATTTAACTGTCACATCCTCACACCAGGATGGGTTTCAGTTCTGAAATCAAACGTGTCCTTGTTCACAATCAGTGTTCCATGGCGGTAATCAAAAGATGAAAATTTCACTTTTTGTCTCTTTTTCCCTGTTCATCTGGACAATGCATTGCTTTTCCTTTGAGTGTGTTTTAAACTTTCCCTATTTCTTCATTTTCTTTAAAACCAAAGGCTTCACATTTTAAAATTAAGATGAGAAAGAAACATATTGTTTATGGTGCAAAGAATCCCAGATCTCTTTGATCACTGATATACTCTCAACCAATGTATTTCTATGAGTATAAATGTCTCAATAATTTATTTACAAAACAGCAGCAAATCAACATGACCTCATCAGTGGACACTAACTAGTTGTGTTGTCTAGAAAGTGCTGACATGGTGCTACAGCTGTTGGTGATTCCTCCTGATGAGTGGAGGGGAACAGAAATAGAATTTCTTGGCACTGATGGCCGTGTCTCCACACATACAGTCAGTTCCTTCCACTACAGGAGAAGAAGTGCCGAGCCACATGGCCCCACGAAGATTAGATGCAGGGAGGGCTTTGGGAGGGAGAAGGTGGGAGGTGAGTGCTGGGAAGTGGGGTCAATGGAATCAACACGGATGACAAGCCCGGAGTGACTAACACTTGGTGTGTCTTGGGTCACAGCTCTCAACTGGCTGACGGCCGTCAACAGTCAACAACTCCTACCAGAGGTGCTGCTCCTGTCCTCACTCGAAGCTGTTCCTTATCACTCAGTTGATGTTCTTCATTGCTTGTTTCAGCAGCTCATCAGACTGAATCCACTGCATGTCAGGCACTGTGGGAGACTCCAGAGTCGTGGCTGTGAGCTAAAAAGACAAAAATATTAACGTCTGTCCTTGCAATCTGTTATTAGCATCTTGAAGCTGTCACCTTATGAAACAGGATACAATAATCTGATTTCCTGCATTTTTAGGTTACAATTAAGATTTGAGTTATGTTTTGCCTTCATTGTTGTTTTGTTCAGTGACTAAGTTGTGTCTGACTCTGCAGCCCTGTGGACGTAGCCTGCCAGGCTCCTTTGTTCTCCACTATCTCCCAGAGTTTGACCTCCTAAGAACCCCTAAATGATGACAGAATAAACAGGATGTGTGTTTCTCACTCAAGGGGTAGTATGTGTAGCTAGACCCTTGATGATTGGGCAGCATTCTATCCCCCGGGTGAGTTGTGTTTCTCAGGGGCTATTTAGGACCCCTCGGAGAGAAGTTCTTTCTCTTCCTCTGGAAGCAGTATGGGATGCAAACTCAAATCTTGGGAATTTGACAGCCATTTCATCACCATGAGGGAAACAGCAAAGATGAATCATGGGGTTGGTTAGCAAACCCCAGAGAAATCCAAACAATCATTGCCAAGGTACTGCTCAAACCATACTGTAAGAATAATGTCTAATTCCTACAGCTAGACAATTGTGTATTTTGTTTTAATGGATAGTGTTAGTATTAGTCACACAGTCGTGTCTGACTCTTTGTGACCCCTTGGACTGTAGCCCACCAGACTCTTCTGTCCATGGAAATCTCCAGGCAAGAATACTGGAGTGGATTGCCATTTCCTTCTCCAATGGATGGTGGTCAGTGTCAAATCACTGACCACATGGAATAGTAATTGAATCATTTCATTTTTATCTGCCCATGTTACAGCTTACTGAAATTTACTTCTCTTGCAATAATTTAAACTCATTTTATATGTTGGTTTAATAAGGATTATGAGGTTACAGTTTTCAAAATAACAGAATATAGCAATGAAAAACATTTGAAGATTACTGATCTAGAAAACATCACAAAACATCCATTCCAAAGCAAAGTTATCTGAAATTTGACACTTTTAAATTTATTTGAAAATCTTTGTCATTTTTCTCAAAAGAGAAATCAATGAAAAATACCTTTCATGTTTCAATGGTGAAGTATGTATTATTTGGTTTAATTAACTAATAATTGCATCATAATTTCCAGTGATGATCTTTCTTGAAGCTATACCTCCAATGATATTTATTTTGTTGGATTTTTTAAAAATTCCCTCAGAATAAATGTTTTAATATTTTTTCCATTTATTTTTATTAGTTGGAGGCTAATTACTTTACAATATTGTAGTGGTTTTTGCCATACATTAACATGAATCAGCCATGGATTTACATGTATTCCCCATCCCGATCCTCCCTTCCACCTCCCTCCCCACCCCATCCCTCTGGGTCTTCCCAGTGCACCAGCCCCAAGCACTTGTCTCATGCATCCAACCTGGGCTGGTGATCTGTTTCACCCTTGAAAATATATATGTTTCGATGCTCTTTTTTCAAAACATAAATTGTATGGTTCATACACATATTAGAGCTTCCCTTGTGGCTCAGAGGGTAAAGAATCTGCCTGCAATTCAGGAGACCCAGTATCAATCCCTGGATCTGGAAGATCCCTTGGAGAAGGCAATGGCTACCCACTCCAATATTCTTACCTGGAGAATCCCATGGACAGAGGAGCCTTGCAAGCTACAGTCCATGGAATTGCTAAGTGTGGACACAACTGAGCAACTAATGCACACATACACACGTTTTAACAGAAACATATAGCATTTTAATAGAAACACACATATGCACATATACTTAAGAGATTTTAACTTTTAGGACCTTAGAATGAATTTGGAGTTCTTATTGTCTTAAATAATTTCAGCAAACATACAAAAGAAAATGAATTAAGTTACAGTAGGTGGTAAAACTCTACAGTGTACAGTCCATAGATGTAACCATCTGGATGCCTGTGGAGAGGAGAAGAATATAGCTTTAACTGATATGTTCTGGTCTGAACAGATGTTTCCAAACCCACCTGGAGGATGTGTCTCTGAAAATAACACAACAGTTCCAGGTGTAACATTAGAATTGTTAGCAACAAACCGCTATTTGCTAAAACTAATAAAGACAGAACATCAGAAGTGTTTTAAAGGGGAGTCACAATACACCCTCACTGAGAGGTACCCAACAAACATGTGTAAGTGCAGCCACACTCACAATCATGTTAAGAAAAATGTGTAAGTCCTGGAAGCAAAAGGATGGGTATTTGTGTGTGTGCTTACGTGTGTGTATTAAAATCCTTTCACACATGAGAAAATCCTCCCTGGCAGTAAGTTTCAACATTGCTTCTCAGCTGAAATCTAAGAATAACATTTTCTCTATTGAGAGGCATTCTGTCCTGGTCACACTCCTGAACTGAAAAGCAATTCCGCCATTTACATGCCATCATCCTACCCTTTAACGAGGAATGACCAGCTCCTGCCTGTTTCAAGTGTGACAACCAATCATCCAGCATCTTGTCCGTAAGTGCTACCCCTATTGTGTAAAAGCAAAAATCAGAGAGGAATCCGTAAGTTGGGGAAAGAAGAGGAGGAGAAAAATGATCACAAATAAAGATTTGCATTTGTTTTACACGTGGTTTTTTTGGTGGGTTGGGGGGAGGGCAGGGGGCATGCTCCCTAAGGCAGGAATGAGGTAAAGGTGACTGGGACAAAATGGTGATTTCACCCTGAACATACAAGTGGATTACCAAAAGCAGGTATTTCTCTTTCTGAAGAAGTGAGAGGAAGCCAAAGAAGTTATATACCAACTTCTGATATATTCAAATTTGACATAATAAGCTGTGGATGCTTTAATTAATGTGGGATAAATTATACAAGACGAAATAAAACATCAAGGTAATACGTCAACATGGGAAGTATTTGTCTGAATGTTTTAAAATTTTTCTGATGAGATTAACAATTGACATAAGAAAGTCTGTTTTTATACAAAACTGGAAATCAGTGTAAATGGTGTCCTTTTAAAAGCAGGTTTCTCAAGTGGCTCAGTGGTAAAGAATCCACCTGTCAGTGCAGGAGATGCTGCTTTGGTTTCTGGGTCAGGAAAATTCCCTGGAAAAGGAAACTGCAACCCACTCCAGTATTCTTGCCTGGGAAATCCCATGGACAGAGGAGACTGGGGGTGCTACAGTTCATGGAGCCGCAAAAAGTCAGACACAACTTAACTACTAAACAACAACAAAGAATCATTTACTTTCAATGATTCTAATATTTTTGTTTCTCTCTGTTTCAGAATGCTGTCCCCAGTGCCTACTAGGATTAAATTAGATTTTTCCCTCAAATTAGGAAGTCTGTGTTATTAATTTCCAACAGATGAGTAAAACCAAACTAAATTGCAAAGTTTATTGCTTATTTTTGTTAACTCCCTTACCTGCTGGTGGCAATTATGATTTAGGGTTAGAGGCACATAGCAAAGAACTCCCATAAACTCAATAACCAGACAGCTCGGTTCTTGGAGTTAAACATTGAAAAGGAATCTCCTCGTACATAATGTAATTTGCTTGACAACAAAGAGGGAATATTTTGTAACTGGACTCTCTAAAGAATACCTTTATGGCTTTGAGTAATATATGACTTCTTACCAGAGTAAAGTGAACTAGAAGTTTTAAAAAATTAATTCTAAGCTTTTCAATTTTCCCTTGAAGAAGAACTCTCTCTATTGCACTCCTGCATGTGCAGAATGTGGGAATCAACTGATATAAACAAGGTTTCCAGGGTGCGGAGACACAACCTCGCACCGTATTTCATTGTCTGATCAAATATTTGGGGAGCAAATCAGAGCACAGACATGGGGCTAGAACTGTAAACAAATAACTGGTTATCTAAAACGCCAAGGCCTGCAGAGTTAATCTTGGACTTTGCCAGAAACAGGCAGCAGGCTTCCCTTCAAGAATCCAGATATCGGTCTGTTCTGGGGCCATAAATCCCATGAGCCTGATGTGCTGGGACATAGATTTCTCCAACAACATTCTTGCCTTTCTTACTCATGCCGGACACTGTGTTCTGCTTTCAACTGTCAGAGACCAGCACAGACGCTGATGGACAAGAGAGGCCCTCCCTGGTGTTTATCAGCCTCAGTGAGTTATGTGAGATGCTCTGCGTTCCTTTTACGGTTACTATGGACATACAAGGTTCTAATTCTTAAGGGGCTTCAGAAACGCTGCCTCACACACCACTTTGGCATATTGGTCACTTTTGAGCTGGAGGTCTGGAGAACCAGCAGACACAGGAAGGGCTGTCTGACCTCCCATTTGCTCACCCAAAAGCAGGTCATCAAATTCCCATGAGAAGGGTGCCCTCCCTGGACCAGGAAGATCGGAATGTTCTTACTGATGCTGGAACGAACCTGTACAAGCCACTTCCTAAAATAAGACCGAATCATCCATTAGACTCCTCCCACATATCTCCCAGCCCCTGTCCCACAATTTATCACCCCCAATCCAAGCCCCTTCTCCTTGTCACCTCCCCACTGTTCCTCATTCTTTATATAACAGACATATAAGCTTTGGAAATGCAGAGCTTCTTCAGATCTTCATTTTTCTTCTGAACACTTCCCTGTGCACATAAAAGTATTCAACACAATTTGAATGCTTTTCTCCTGTTCCTCTGTCTTGTGTCCATGTGATCCATGGGTCAGTGGTGAGTCTAAGAGTGTGCAAGGGAGATTTTCCTCTTCTACGAGCTCACCTTGTCTTAAGGCTCCTTCAGAGGAGTCCTTCTCCCTCACATACTCCTGAAGCTTCTGTTTCTAACAGGGGATGACTGCAGGGCTCAGTGGATGGGGTTGGGTTGGGGACTTCCCTGTGAAAAACTTCTCCTCTGACATCTAAATAAGACATGAGTAAACCTTGAAAGATGTTGTCCATCCAGCCAAAAACATGCAGAATCTCCTTAAATATTTGTGGAGTAAATATCTATCACCCCATTAGTTTTTCACATGGAAAAACCAGCAGAGGTGGGACTCAGTCTGTGGGAT